AAGGATTCAAAACTAAATGTTTTCTGAGATTAAAAGATGTAAACTTTTTAATTTTTTAAGTATATTGAGTGTATTAGAGCAAGACTTTGCCAAATTTTTAATATTTTAATATTTTGCATATATGTATATATACTAATTTATATCCATAGGCTAAATTTGAAGGCCACAGGTTTCTCAGCTTTGCTGCCGTTATATGTGCAACCCTCGTAAAAAATAAAGTTAATTATGATGAAAGTGTTTATTTATTAACGAGTCGATGATACTAGCAACACGATTGCTGCATGATGTGGAGATGAAATTAATATCTAACCGATCTAAATAGATCTTCAACTAATATTACTTTCCTCGTATACAACACTAATTTACGTACATTACGTTAATTCGTTGTTAATATGATTTATTCATTCAAAGTAAACTTAGCGTAGGCCTAAATTTGTCAAGTTCTCGAAAGTTTTAACATCTTTGGTTTATCCTATGTGCATGATTGTTCAGCGAATTCTTCAATTGATTTCATCTCTAAGTTATCTGTTCGTGTTGTAGGTGAATTTGCATGGGAATAACTTTAGGAAACATGATATTGTTCACTCCGTAATATGATAAGTAGAAAATGTTCTCGAATCTCGAGTGTGTATTTCATAATTGCCATACCCAGCGTAAGCAGAAAGATAAAATCTGTCGCGGCTGGGTCTTGAACCCGCGACCTTCGAATTACTAGAACGACGCTCTACCAAATGAGCTACACGGTCAGACGGATTTAAGAATGGAAATTATGAACTATATACTGAATGCCATAAACATATACTCGTTTATAATAACTTTATATACTTTATATTAATTCAGCATCGAACCATAGCCTACTAGTTCTGCAAGTGTTATGTTATGTTGTGTTATTGTTCACTCCGTAATACGATAAGTAGAAAATGTTCTCGAGTGTGTATTTCATGCATAATTTCCGTACCCAGCGTAAGCAGAAAGATAAAGTGTTAAGTCTGTCTGTAACTCAGTTGGCAGAGCGCCGATCTAGTAATTCGAAGGTCGCGGGTTCAAGACCCAGCCGCGACAGACTTTATCTTTCTGCTTACGCTGGGTATGGAAATTATGAAATACACACTCGAGAACATTTTCTACTTATCATATTACGCAGTGAACAATGCATGCAGTTTTCGATATATAGTAACTACGGAATCTTCGACTTTATGAAAACAATTTATTTTGAACAATTATTGTTAATTATGAACATTCTAGTTAAATATTTTTTGTTGAACTGTTAGTGTTAATGTTAAATGTATGATTATATATAATTGATTACACTAGGGGCCTTAAACAAAAGCCTGATGGTTTCTAGTAGGCCTCTAGCCCTCATGCAATTGTAAATAATATTAATTAATAATCAATGTTAAATTTGGGCGAAATAATTAAATAAATAATTAAATAAAAAAGTATGAAATACACACTCGAGAACATTTTCTACTTATCATATTACGGAGTGAACAATAACACAACATAACATAACACTTGCAGAACTAGTATGGTTCGATGCTGAATTAATATAAACGAGTATATGTTTATGACATTCAGTATATAGTTCATAATTTCCAGTCTTAAATCCGTCTGACCGTGTAGCTCAGTTGGTAGAGCGTCGATCTAGTAATTCGAAGGTCGCGGGTTCAAGATCCAGCCGCGGCAGACTTTATCTTTCTGCTTACGCTGGAGTATGGAAATTATGAAATACACACTCGAGAACATAATTTTTTGGGAATAACATGTACTTTTGTAGATACACACCTATGTCCACAACTTACTTGTATCACTTGTTTGTTAAAAATCTCCTTGTCCTTTGTATGTAGCTAATTTGTTTCCAGTTCGCGAAACTTTACGACCAACGTATGAACAGCAAGCGCGTCTTCCCTGTTGGTGATCCTTAAACGGCAGACTGCATGGAAACACGCCCTGGCATGTTCTGTGTTTGTATGCTATTTATATACGCTCATGGGTGCAGTGTATTATTGATCCACTTAATGCTGGACAGGAAACTGATTATACACTGGGTGGATCAAAGTAAAGCCTAAAGGTCATTGAGATTTATTGATTGACACGCAGATTTATACTTTTCTTCGAATTTTGAGGTCATTATATATAGCTATCCAGTAATAACCAATAATACCTATATTATTCAGAGAGAAAATGGCCAGATATGATCCGATATTCCAAAATTAATTGCCGGTCGAAATAGTATCTAGGAAACATTCAAAAGAGATATATAAGCCCCTCGTGCAAAGTTACAAAATCGAAACTACGTTTTCTATTTCCGTTTCCTCTAGGAACTAAACAATAACTTCTGAGAAAACATCATACACTGAAAACTAACACTGAGTTATGCGTCGAAACATGATAATCATCAGTATCTAGACTCTCCTGGTTGTGCTGATCATCGATACTAACCATCGATTCGATACTATATAACCTAAATCGGGAACGCAATCCCCAAACTGCATTTTATGGTATATTACAATATGTATATATATACAAATATTTCGTGCAACGTAAAGCCTGGTTTCCATATGATCGTATTGGTCGTGAAGATTGAGTCACTATATCTTTCTCATCAGCCGAAATACAACATTTAAGAACTGAAAATACGCGGAGTGATTACAACTAGAGAATACTTATGATTTATATGTGGTTTACAGGTATAAACTATTATAAACTGGCCGTTGAGAAAGATCGTGACTCTATTTTTACGACCATTACGATCATATGGAAACCAGGCTTACAAAAGCGCATCTTCCCTGTTTGGTGATCCTTAATTAAGCGGCAGACTGCAAACACGCCTTGGCATGTTCTGTGTATATGTATTTTATTATTATTATTATTAGTTTTATTTACGCACAAATAATATTTACAAGTTGAATATTTAAGAATATATAAACGGGCTATAGAGACCTCTGAAAATCCTGTTGGACTTTTAAGACAAGGCCCCTATAGTTTTAGTGTTCAGTAATATAAAAATAGATTATGTACATAAGGACAATTTGCAATGAAAAACACAAAGTATTTACAAACAAATATGGAAAATGTTTAAGAAATATTTAGTAATTACAGAATACTGTCATTAATATTTCTGAAATATTTACATCAACTAGACATCAAGTAATATGATTTTGCAGTTTTCTTAAAAGAAAAATACGATTTAATATTTTTAATTTCTTCATCAAGGCAATTCCATATAGAAACTCCTTTAGAAACTATGTATGCTATTTATATACGCTCATGGGTGCAGTGTATTGTTGATCCACTCAATGCTGTGACAGGAAACTGATTATACACTGGGTGGATCAAAGTAAAGGTCATTGAAAGTTATTTGCATAAGTTATTGTATATTTACATGCAGATTTATACTTTTCTTCGAATTTTGAGGTCATTATAACTATCCAGTAAGGCCTGTTATACACGTCGAATTTTGGTTGCGTCGAATTAAGCTCATTAAGCTTCATTATCTATCGTTTGAATTGTATTCGACGCGACCAAAATTCGACGTATAAAACAGGCCTTATATCCAATAATACCTATATTATTCAGCGACAAAATGGACAAATATGACCCGTTATAACAAAATATAATTGCCGGTCGAAATCGTATTTTCTATACATGTACTTCCTATCTAAGAAACATTCAAAAGCGAGTGCTTTGCAAACGTTTGGCTTAAATTACTCTGTGATAAACATTTTCGTAAAATGTTCTTAACCAGTATAGTTGAACGGGGTGGGACGGGTTATGAAACACAGACTGGGTATAAAATACACAGTGGGGATAAAATGCTGACTCGATTATTAAAATGCTGAGTGATATTTTATGAAAGCGAAGCAGAAGTCAGGTGATTGCTCTCCTTTGAAAACGATCGCCACCCGGAAGGGCGATCACCTCACGGGTCTTTTGTAACGATGAGAACAATTAGACAGCGATATACAGGGTGTCTCAAAAAAAACCCAAAATCATTGAAATTGACGTATTGTTCGATATTCAATGCCCTAGCACTAAGTTAATCCCACGAGTGCATAAAAGATTGACATAACTGCTATAATGAATGGTAATACTCAGCGTAAACTTGTTATGTCAGGCATAAAGTACTAAACCCACGAATTCATATTACGCATATTACAATTTACGAAGCATTTTTAAATTCCCATGAGCAAACAAACGTTCACTTTACAAAGATATTTTAATTTTTTAAAACAAATTAATCACCCTGTCAAAATCCTTTGTGTTACGGCATTGAAATTCGAACAATACGTTATTTCAATGATTTTGGGTTTTTTTGAGACACCCTGTACAGTGTGTATAAAAAAAAACTGAACCCTTTCAAATTCAAATTAGCTATAACCTATTGCAGTAATTTGACAGCTCTAATTGCTTTAAATTAATGGTTGGATAAGAACACTAGGTCTTGTACTCATGGGACAAAACTCAAAGAAATAAAAATTAGAAAATTTAAAAGAAATACAGTATTCCTTGTGTTCTTACCCAACCATTAATTCAAGGCAATTAGAGCTGTCAAATTACTACAATACGTTATAGCTAATTTGAATTTGAAAGGGTTCAGGGGTTTTTTATACACCCTGTGTACGGTAGATGCGAAGTACTTATTAATATCGTTTTTTAAACCAATAGCTTACAATATCAAATACTTTACACACGTCACAAATAAGCCCCTCAAAGTTACAAAATCGAAACCACGTTTTCTTGTTTCGAAACCACGTTTTCTTATTGTTTAGTCAAACAATTACTTCTGGGAAAACATCATACACATTCAGCACACTAACTTTGAATGACCTTTACTTTGATCCGCCCTGACTATATATAGGGTTTACTGAGTTAGAGTAATAGATTTTCCGACACCAGTCTGCAGTCTGCGTTTATGGGTTTTGAGTTTGCTATAGATTTACTGTTTTCGCGTCAATAAAGTTGTTTTTATTTTTCCGATATATCAGGTTTGATTTTTATTATTGCGAACGTACAAAAATGGCTAAATATGTTATGCTATCCAATTAAATAATGCCCGATGATTTCCATGCTCCCTCCCACTTGGAGAACTTCAATAAAAGCATCGCAAGTTCTCTGCAAACTTCATTACCTTGCAGTTTCATCACCTTGTTACTTGCAAATGTAAATTAGGGATAAATTGCTGAAGGGGAAGAACAGGGGATATATTTCAATTTCAGCGATGTACTCTAGTATGGTAGTCACGTCTGTCACGATATACGACGATAATAATCAAGTAACAGCAATACAATTAACATTACACTATGAATTTTTAAACCAATAACTTGCAACATCGACTCATACCGCCGCCTTAAAAAACCCCAAAGTTACAAATTCGAAACCACGTCGATCGAAACAGATTTTCTACTTCCTAGGAATTTCCATCTTCGAAAATTCCTGGTATTCGATATCGTTACGGTACTTCCATTTTGCTACAAACTAAAATCTGTTCTGCGAAAGTACGAATTTTGCTGAACAGTCAAAAATACTAAAAAAGTCTGCATTATATATACCCATGCAGTCAAACCCAGTCTGCATTCTATATCTAGTACATACCCAGGCTAAGCAATCTACAGATTATGCTGACCGATTTTAACAGTTGCTCAACGCGAAATAACAATTTTGTTTAAGACATTATATATTCATTTGTTAACTTTGAAACCTTTAATTGTAAACAAGTATATTATCAATAAAATAAATCTTTTTGATAAAATTTCTATGGCGAAGGTATATGATCAACACGAAAAGAATCACATACTAGTATGAGACCAACCGAATTCGAACAAAATTAATTCCATAAAGACACAAAAACATTCGAAAATATTGGACTGCACCGCAAACAACACTAAAATTGCACAAAATTGTATTTTAAATTAAAAGCGATACTTGGTAACAATAAGTCATTTTATTAGCATGTTACTGTCGATGCAATGGAAGTGTTGATAAAATATTGCATGAATTCATTTCCTCAAGTTGATCAATTCATACGAATTCAAATTTCTTTTTACTTCCTGTGCGTTTCCTATTGGTCAATCGGTTCTGAAACGAAATCTAATTGGCTCATCCAAAAGTAACAGGAAGTTGATCAATTTTCTATCAAATGAATTGATCAACTTGAGGAAAGGAATTGGTGCAATATTTTATCAACACTTCCATTGCATCGACAGTAATTATAGTTGATAAAATACACTTTGCATTTATACCAATTCTATTTCAAGCATCTAGACCTCTATGAAAGTAGCCTGTGTTTCACGTCTTGTTGTCGTGTTTTGTGTATGTTATTATATGTACATGCAGTTAGTAAATTCACGGTGGTGTACGTATAATCATTGACATACTTAATGCCCATATGGTGTGACACGACACTGATTTTGCTGGGTGAATCAAAGTAAAATTAGTCATTGAACTGAGTTAGCAATTAAGTTATCATGCTTTGGGTATTTTTATACAAACAAATGGATTATCGGCAAAATAAATTTGATTGATAAAATTTCTATGAATACAATATAAATCAAAGACAATTTAAGAGTGAAGGTATGATCACACAAAGCAACAATTGCATATTGCTATAGACACACATTTACATACTAAAATAATTTTAACAAATTAGACTGTATGCAAACACCATTAATAAAAGTGAAGAAAACGGGTTTTAAGAATGGCAATGGAGCACAGTTTCTTCACGTTCGGACAAGTTTTGTAAGTATATAAAGATTAAGTTTGAGTAAACAAGTAATAGAAAAAAAAACTGAAACCATGCATGTGGTTAATTAAAAGGACGTTTTGTCCCACCCTTTCTTGGAATTTTGAGTGCATGCATGTGTAAATAATATAGGCAGACTTATAAATAGGATACGTTCGTCGGAAAACTCGTAGGCCTATATTATCTGCGAACACAGTTTTGGAAAGTGGTGCATTTAAAGATGAGTTGCTTTAGTGAAAAAGGTCAAAGCTCAAAAGCAGAACGTAAAGAGGTATGAATAAATAGAAACTGCAACTGGGATAAAACTACGTTCTAACGTTCACGGGAACTGTGAATATGGAACCAATACTCAAATTTGCAAGAAGATTTGTTCTTGTGGTAACTAATACCCGGCATGGAAAGCGGATGAATTCCGACACATATCCCAGCGGGCAAAATGACGTTTATCCAACGTTGAATCAACGTTGGAAATGACCTTTCAGACGTTGGATAGACGTTCAAAAAGGGTTGACTATGCAAATTGGATCGACGTTACTGTTTCGACGTTGAAACAACGTTGAAATTAGGTTGCCAATCTCGTCAACCATAATTCAACGTTGAATCCACGTTAAAACAACGTTGAGATTGGTTCACAAATCGACGTCGTACATTTAACCATGAATGAACGTTAATTCAACGTCTGTTGGCTGCTTTTGAACCAACGTTTGTAAAACAACGTCAGAGCAACATAGATATTAGGTTGTCGACGTTGCAACCTTTTTTCTACCAAATTTCAACGTTGAAACAACGTCGTGTGCCCGGTGGGATCACTGATCTAATAGTAGACTGGATATAGCTTCTCTAGGTGTGAAAAGTGAAGCCAAATTATATATGCGAAAATCACTTCCGGGGACCACGGAGTGATACAAATTACTATAGAAATGTATGGCGAACAACGTGAACCAAGGTGAATTTTCCCGAATTTGAGATACTTTGCGAAGTTTTACCAAGCTGATCGCTCCAACGTGGGTAAAAGATGTTATGTTAATGCTTTTAAAACGAAAATTATCCAGATTGCCCTAAAATATCGTCAGTTTTGTTCGTTCAAAGTTGTCCATGCGGGAATAATATTTTATCGCCACAGTGGTATGACAGCACAATTTCTGGTTTGCTTTCCAATTACGGAGGCAGAATATTATCAAGCAAACTTTTAAGGGGAAGTAATTAGTTCATTTATCATTTATGTTTAACCTTGATCGACCAGAAGGTTTCAAACTTTCAATTATCCATCGTAATAAGCCTTTTTACAAAATATATATACAGTAGTCAGTATTTGTCTTTAATAGTTCTAAAGATATATAATATAAAATATATTTGTACTTTTAGTACTTGTTTTTATTTGTTATTCTGTTAAACTGGAAGACAATCTTAATGAAGCTTTCTGTAGTAAGAGTGAATCTACTTTTATATTGCAGTTGAATTTTGAACTTTCAGTTGCAGAGTGTATATTGTATTTATAGTGCCTGCAGAGACTCCAGAGGTTGAGTGTATTGTTCATTAATTCTGATCATTTATATATAAACGTTTGTTATTGTAAAATATCCATTGGTGCTTTTCCACCAAACTCCCAGCATATACAGGGTATCCCAAAAAATGTCCCCTCTGTTGTTGGTTAATTACTGTGAGTAAAGCCTGGTTTCCATACGGTCATAACAGTCATAAAAATAGAGTCACAATTTTCTCAAAGGTCAGTATATAATAGTTTATACCTGTAAACCACATATAAATCATAAGTATTCACTAGTTATAATCACTCGATCTGCATATTTTCAGTTCTAAAATGTTGTATTTCGGCTGATGAGAAAGATTGTGACTCCAGGCTTTATAGTACTTAACCAACAACAGAGGGGACATTTTTTGGGATACCCTATACATGTGCCTGTGGGTTTATACACACCCCAAGCCCAGGGGTATTCAAAAAAGAAAGACTTGTTGCAGTTCAAATCAAGCCTTGATAAAATATTTTTTCTTCCTGGCAGCAGGCTGCCCAGACCAAAAATTTCCTGCCAATTTTTTTATAAATTTGAATTTTGGTTGTAATTCAATAACAGTGTCGTGTATTTAACAATTATTCTCTGAAGGCGAGGTGATTAGTCGGGAATATTCGCCGAGACGAAGATTTGACCGATCAACATGTAGGATTTGTTATGTTCACTTGTGCAAAGATACTAAAGTACCTTACTAATTAGTCATATAAAGAAAAATATAGGTTTACTAGAATTAGGAACATGAAGGAATTCTATGAAACAATATTTGAATTTTGTTTTCAGATTGTAAATCTGAATTTATATCAGTATTCATACACTATTCAATAATAGTAGTACGCCCTTGTTTTCCACATGTATCATAATCATGAATCATAATAACAGACAGTCGTATATATAGCATTGCCACATGATACAAATTTTTATGTTATGATTGTTGTATTTATGCTCTAATTGTGATGTTTGTTACTTTAATGCAAGCCCTGGGTACACGGTTGTGCTGATTTTTGAAATTTCTCGAGCTTCATTCTTGATATCTTGCTTTTCCTTAAAAATTTCCTGTGAGATTAAAAACATTTCCTGGCAGCATGCTGCCATGCTAGTGGACTTTCTCATGCCTTGGTTCAAATGTTGTGTTTTGTCACCTGGGGTTTCTTGACATTGTCGAAACAGCACAACTGGTCATGGAAACCATGCTTTTAAAGTATAGGCAATTAGAAACTTTTAAAAATTAGAGATAATTTCATCAATAATTGGCAAGGCCGCAACCTAAAAAAAGCATGTCATACTATATTTTATCTTCTATTGTCAGAATATCACACTGCCTATA